GTATCGTGAAAGGGTAGAGCTGCTACCTTTACAGGGGAAGGACAATTATATAGATATTAAAAAAAACACGATGGTATGAAATATATGTTTTTCCTTTTTGCAGGCTTAACACATGATGGCAGCTTCTAGAGTGGATTTTGGTAAACTTGAAGCATGGGTGTTCATGAAGTTGCACTTCTTGCAAGGCAAAGGAGCAGCGGAAATCAATGGCGAGATGAAGGAAGTCTTGAAGGATGACTGCCCATCATACTCCACAGTGAAAATCTGGGTGTCAAGGTTTTGGACTGGTCATTTCGAGGTCACAGATGAACCCCTGTCAGGATGGCCAACTTATGCAACCTTTTATTGTTTTGTTGATGTTCTCCCTTGAGGGTGAGTGGACCTTCCCTCTTTGGCCTGCAGGTGGGATAAGATTTTGTTGATTGGAGGTGGTATTCGCTCTTGAGGGTGAATGGGCTTTCCTATTATGGTGTGGAGGTGGGGTGAAATCTGGTTATTGTTGGTGGTATTCACTCTTGAGGGCCATCAGACTTTCCTATTTTGGCCTGCAGGTGAGGTTGTGCAAAACTGTAAAGCTAGTGGAAAACATAAGTGTTCAGTTGAGGATTATTAGTTTACATCAAACAATTTAATTAATTCCTTTTTTGGTGGTGGGAGAGAGTTATTACATTGCTATCTTGGTGGAGGGTATTGACTGATGATATTTAGTAGACCGTTCATGTAGTTGTTTGTTGCTAGTCTGATTATGGAGCTAGCAACATGAAGGGCATTTGGATCTTCGCTGGATGTTGCGAGGGCACCAGTTTTCCGTCAAACTTCTGAAAAGGAATCACATTCGAGGATGTAGTGGAGCAGTGGATGTGGTGAGGCTACCTGGCAGAAGGTGCATTCCCTGATGATATCATCCACTATTCGCCAGGTGCACTTGTGCCTGAGTCTCAGACGGTACACATTGACCGCCGTGCTTCATCGAAGGTTCTTAGGCAGGGTGATTTGCTGAAGATCAGTGGTGGCTTTATACCACCAGGTGGAGGGGGAGCCAATGTCTGTGCACAGGTTGTGTTTAGTTATTAAGACGTTAAGGAGTGACTCTTCTGCAACCACAGAGGACAAAACCAACGCTGTGCACATCATGATTCTTATGGACTGCTGAGATTCTTGGGATATCCCACAAGAGTTGGCCACATCATAAACAACATTTTGGACATGAGAAAGCTTTCTGCAAAATAGGTGTCGGAATGCCTGAACGCAGAACAGAAGCACATCCAAGTGACAGCATCAAAGGTTATTTTGGACTGGTTTGCAGTGGAAAAAGCTGATTTTATGGCTCATTTAGTCACCATGGATGAAACTTGGCTTCACCACTATGATCCCCAGACCAAGGAGCAATCAATCAAAGGGAGGCACAGTGGTTCACCATCCCAGGAAGTTTTGGACCCAGAAGTCAGCTGGAAAGATTCTGGCTTTTGTATTCTGGGACAAAGAGGGAGTACTCGTCATAAAATACCTGCCAAATGGTAGCACCATCAAAGAAGACTACCACATGTCTCTGTTGGAAGACCTGTGTGAAGATTTGAAGCAGAAACATGGTGGAAAGCTGAGCCGTGGTGCCCTGTTTTTGCAGGACAGTGCACCAACACACACCGCACATGAAACTCTACAGAAAATATGCAACTTTGGCTTCGAATTGGTAGACAGCCGCCTTACTATCCAGACTTGGTCCCCTCTGACTATAATCACTTTCCACTACTGGAGAAACATATCAATGGGACGAAATTTCAATCCAGTTCAGAAGTGATCGCTGCTACAGAGGCCTGGTTAGAGGCCCAATCTTACGAGTTCTCTTTTCAGGGCTTAGAAAAACTGAAGGACAGCTGCATTAAGTGTGTGAATCTGAGAGGGAAATATGTTGAATAACATTATAATTAATTTATATATATATATATATATATATATATATATATATATATATATATATATATATATATATATATATATATATATATATATATATATATATATATATATATATATATATATATATATATATATATATATACACACACAAAACCAAAGATTCAGAATTCAGATATTTTTCGTTTCTTATAATAGCTTGGTACCGCTAGTAGAAACAGATATATACCCTTGTTTTCGTGGGACCTCTCATCTCAGCAGGCTCAGTGAGTATACTAAAGACATGTTTTCGCAAACCTGGGTCTCGTCACTAAACTCTCATTGAAAAAATATTATAGATTTCTTTATTTATTTATTCAATTACCCACTAATTTATTTATTTCAATCTATATTTTTACAACACAATCATAGCTAATCATTATTACAGGTTTTTATACAGGAGGTGGGAATATCTTTTTAATTGCAAGGTAATGCTGAAATACCTATGCATTACCTACTCTCTTGTCTGAGAAAAGTGTACATTGGAGTCCATGTACAATGGGAGAAAAATTCTAGTATCTATTAATAGTAATCATTTTAATGTATT